AAAACTCAAGCTAAGCCACTCACTGAAGAAAATAACCAAACAAAATATGTATTCCTTCTTCATTTTTCATAATCCAGTCGTAATGAAACACTGTATGCTCGACCAGGAGACGGTTAGGCTAAGGCTTCACTTAAGTTTACGCCCCACTTTCATTCGATTGAAATTTTCGATAAAACTATCAGAATATCAATTATTTAATTTAGATTGTTCAATCCATTATTTTATTGATTTTACTTTGTCATTTTATTTATTGTTTACTTTGTTGTCAATTGTTTATATTGAAGTATTTTTGACAAAGTTAAGTAGGTAGCTTATTGTAAAATGAACTACCGGTATCGCAAAATTTGTCAACATGTTTTAATAAATGCCGAAACCTGTTTCAAATGGATTGGAAAGGTTTGGTTCCGCAGACTTCCAAATGTCTAGTGTGTAACGATGAAATGAAAGTGAGAATTAGAGGTAAGAATCAAGTAGCTTTCACATACAAGAAAAGGTCTACCACGATGTATCCAAAAATGCCCTAAAAAAATAACTTTTTCCAGTACCATGGTAAACCAACATAATTATGGTTACAACCCAGTTATGGTAAACCAACATAATTAATTTGTTCTTTAAAATGGGAATACCACATAAAGTACAAATCTTACTTTTGTTCTACTGTAGTTGAATTGTTTGATATTTATTTAACACTTTGAGTGCGGCAGGCATTCCAACAGGCGCTCGCCAATGAGTTCTGTCTATGTCAGTGCCGTGATCGGGTTACAATAAGTGTTGTAGGCCTAGGCCTACATGAAAATGTTTTGTTCATGCGTGTTAAATAGATACCTATACAATTTTATGTTTAAATTAAATGTAAATTTCTACTACTTGACAAGTCCAATTCGGATATTATAATGTTTCAATGTGTCTGTGTACCGTACCACTTGAAAATGCCAACATGGTAAAACATGTAACTTAGTGGATAAAAAAAACACACTATTTGAACTGCAAGAGGGTACAGTTTCTTAACTGGGCTATGCTAATATTGATTAAAACTATCGAATTGAAAATATTGATTAATAATCTATATTTAAAAATATCTATTACTAGCTGTAACCCGCGGGCTTTGGCCCGTTTAACTTCTTAATTTTCAAGATTATCTCGTTTGCATGGCTCAATCACGTCCTGGTTGAAGTTTGTTCGCTACGCTCACTCACCTTTAGGTTGGAGCTCGTTCGCTACGCTCACTCACCATTAGGTTCGAGCTCGTTCGCTGCGCTCACTTGCCTTCAGGTATGCTCGTTCGCAACGCTAACTCGCCTCCAGGTTGAAGTTTGTTCGCTACGCTCACTCACCTTTTGGTTGCAAATTAGCTGTTGTCATAAATGTAAAAGAAATAATAGTGCTGCACCCTGTTGGTAATCCTTGTAACTTTAATGCTATTGAACATCAAAGAACAGAACCAACTTGTTTAATTGAAACAGCTGATAAGATTCAATAATTCCATTTCTCATAAGGTTAACATGGGAAACTCCAGAGCCACTGAGGCGGAGCCCGAAAGGATTTTCGAAATAAGAATAAGCCTATAGGTTAATCGGGAATGTGAGCTATCATCATGCCAAATTTCAGCCCAATCCGACCAGTATTTTTCGCGTGCACTTGTCACAAACATACATCCATCCATACATCCAAACTTTCTCATTTATAATATTATATATATATATATATATATATATATATATATATATATATATATAAGTAGGATAAAATTAAACTATCATAACCTAACCAACCAAACTTGCTGATGGTGAAAAATTTGCATGAAGGTTTATTTACTAATCGAATCGATAGTTTCAATCAATATTAGCGTAGCCCAGTTAAGAAACTGTACCCAGGGGTTGAATGAAATAAATAGGGGTCTAATTCTTAGCTAGGTAGGCTACTGTTGTAAGTTCCTCCAATCATTGGCTTTATCGGTAACCATTCAGTATGGTTATGGCCACATTCATAGCTATTTGTCCTATGGTACCTCACTGTGGGCCAACAGTTTTTATGCTAACAGGTTGCTTTTTACTTAACAAAAGAAAGCGGTGAGGTTAATTTGTAGTGTGAATAGAAGAACACATTGTAAGCCCCTTTTCGTGGGTCTTAACATTCTCTCATTTCCATCCTTGTATGTTTTGGCAAGTTTTGTGTATGTAAAAGAAAACATTCCTCACTTTGAAAAGATATCTGATGTTTACAACTATTGTACTAGTAAAGATCTAAAGATAATAATGTCTACACTAAGGCATAAGTATACAGCCACTCAAAATAGTTTTGAGTACCAAGGTGTTAAAATGTACAATTTCTTGCCTGCATCCATCAAAAACCTGTGTGTTTCAAAATTTAAACATGTTTTAAATATACCCCCGCCGCAGCAAACCTGCCGACTAAGCGAATTTCCATTTGTCTGAATTGATTTTCAGTTTTTAAAATATATTTTAATAACATTAGGTTTAACGAGTACCTAGGTTTGCTGCTACAAGGAAACTAATAAAGTGTGTTTTTGAGTAAAATATTGATAGCTTAGTACAAAATAAATCAATTTGCCAAGTTTGATCACAATATATCTATAAACAAGCAAACTACAACATTTGACAATATTCTCCATAAGAATAACATGGGAATTTTAAATTTACAATTTTTTAAATTTTCTCCGTTACTTATAATCGAACAAAAATACTTTTATATACTAAATTATTTGTTTTTTTAAGCTCTTTAAAAAGGTCTAAAGAGAAATCGGGAAATTTTGTGTTTTGAGGGTCAAAAGTGAGAAAAACCAATTTTTACCCCATAAAACCCCCCGTAAAGCCCCGTTCCCATGGTCCGATCGTGCTGGTTCGCGAACTCATTCAAGTTTATCCCGTTTTACACTTACTTAAGTTATCGCGTTCTCGGACGTATATATATTTATATAAGTCTATATATAAAAATTTGAACGAATGGTGTTTTTGGCCTCTGGGGACATCAAAATGAAAAAGTAAATCGGTCCCGGGTCTAGGTCTTACCGTGCCACCTACGGTAATAGCTACTTCCCTATAGGGAAATTCGCTAAAACTACTCTAACCCAGGCTTGCCTGTGTAAACATGAAGAGTACTTTGGTTTAGAGTTTAAGGGCGGGTTTCTGATTCAGGTATTAGCGCTAGTCTTAGACTAAAGCTCATTTTAGTACTGGACTAATTTTAATCCATGACTAGCCTAGTTCTGGGCTTATAAATCCCTGACTCAGAAACCCGCCCTTAGTTTCAGTTATTTTAGTTGCCATCTTGATTGTTTTGTTTTTCTTTTTCTTTTGACTATTGTCATGAACTTTGTATAGTTTTAACGACAATAAAGCATTTCATTTCATAGTATGAAAGCGAAAGGTTATAAATCTACTCTGTTGATATGCTACCTACATTAGTTTACAAAGATAATCAAATCAAATGGATAAACAATTAAACTGGGCTGTACTTTACTTTACGTCCTACACTCATGAAAATATTCGATCGATATATCGATTAATCTATTGTTTCATTCGAATGAGTGTAGGACCTAAAGTAAAGTGCAGCCTTAACCCTCCCAGTGTTACTTGACGAAAATTCGACAAGCAGCACACTTTGTGTAGTGTTACTTGTCGATTTTTCGACAAGGCAGACATCGTTTACGGCGAAGGCTCTATGACTGACTGAATCGGATTGAACTGGATCGAGTTAGGTATCGTTCTTTCCGTAATATTCTAAGCTTTCTCCAGAGGTCTGTCTCTAAGCGCTATTCATTTTAGTTCCGAAAATATTGTAGCAGACAGCTGACGTGCGTGTATTTGTAAACAGCTAGGTTCCCCCGGACCGATGACTGATGTGTTTTATTACGTTTATCATTGTTTTAGTGTTAAAAATCAAAAGTAGTGATATACGTGGTGCATTATAAGAAGATTTAAGTGGTTTTGAAGTGCTGGTTGATGATCCTGAAGAAGTAGGTAGTGATATTGATGTAAATTATCAGCCAGATTCCTAGCTATGGTTAGGCTATGCATTCTTAGCTAAACGCTATGTACTGAAATCAGTTTTTTGCCCATAACTTATTCATTTGCAAATATACTTCCTTATATTATTATATATTTGTAATCCTCATAAAATTTAGAACAAAGTGGCTATTTTCAAATATTTATAGGCCTATAATTTATACACTTTCATTGAGCGCGAACTTATTTTTTTTTTTGAAAATTTTCGAAATTATATTTTTTTTACCTAAAAATTTTTTTTTTGAAAAAATGTTCCTTATGTTTTATATATAATATTGAAGCCCATGATTTTCCAAACAAAATGGTATATAGAACATTAGAATTAACATTGTTTTAAGCTTCTCAGCTTTAATAAAACCTTGCAAATGCGCCAAAAATAGGTGGACATTAAGGCCTAAACTATGGACACTTGGAGGGTTAAACTGTGATCACATACTTATCAAATCATTGTTTAACAATTCTTCTTCGATTTCCTCCTCTGTCAAGATGTCTTGGTTAATCTTGGACATATTTTTGGCAGGGTTATAAATGTCACGCTCTGATGGAAGTACTCAATAAAGTCCTGTAATTAGTTAACCTATTTAGTTGCTACAAGAAATCAAGTCATACAAAGAAAACGACAATTATATTAGCTGTTGAGGAACACTTAAATAAATAGTTAATTATTTACAATCAAACATAACCTATTCAACTATTCAACTGCAACCAGCAACTACACCCACTCACTACAACAGGAACAGTGTCGTAGACGTAGTATAGTTTGACTTTTGACGTTTGACTAGTAGTTTTTGTTAGCTCTCACTCGGTAGAGCCGATGGACCCGATCCGTTCCGTAGGTGAAGAGTAGTGGATTGGAGTTAAAAATGAAATGTGGAGTGGACAGTGGACTAGGAATACTGCTAGCCTAGCCAGACTAGCAGTAGAAGTAGAAGGAAGAACGTCAAACGACAAAAGTGTAGAAGAAGAAGAGAAGAAGCGTAGAAGACTTCGTTTCTACTCTAGTTTGAGGTTATAACCTATTTGATCAAAATTATGATTTCGAACTCAACATTTTCGAGCCTATACTTGACGTGGAGAACTAGCCTAGTTCTTGTATGAAACATCTTGTGTTTAAAACGCATTTACTACACTATAAATAAAATTATCTTCTTCTAGTGTGGTGTTTTGAGACTATGAAGGATTGTAGGCCTATAGGAATTTGCAATGAAGTGAAGACGAATCTTGAAATATTAATCTCTGGTAGGCCTATTTTCAATAACGCGTAGAATATTTTGGGTCTATGGATCAAAGTTACGGTGAGTCTGGTTTTATTACATCCGTCTCATAGTAAGATAGCTGTTTGTAGCCTAAGTTAGGGTATTTGTAAATTTCTATATGGCTAATTTAGGTAAGTTACCTAAGTTTAGGTAACTTGATTACAATCAAACATAACCTATTCAACTGCAACCTGCAACTACACCCACTCACTACAACAACCTTCTACGAGTGTCGATGCTTATGGTATGTCATCTCACCTACTTAAGATAATATTAGCACATATCTTGTTACCACTCACTGATTGTATCAACTACTGTCTGCTTTCTGGCATCTTTCCTCCAAATTTAAAGCTATCAAAAGTTGTCCCCGTTTATAAGAAGGGCCCGAGGGATAGTCCTGGTAGTTACCGCCCTATATCTCTGGTTTCTGTTGTGGGAAAAGTGCTTGAGTCAGTTGTCAAAGTGCAATTAATGAATTATTTAGAATCGTTTGGGTTACTTTCAAATTGGCAATTTGGGTTTAGAGCCGGCAGATGCGCCACGGATGCCGTTAGGTGTCTAGTACAGTCTGTCTTAAACTCATTTGAAGGAGGAGCCCTTACTCAGGCGACCTTAGTTTACTTGAGTAAGGCATTTGATTGTGTTCCACACTCCTTACGCTTTAACAAGCTTGACTACTACGGTATTCGTGGCGCAGAGCTGGAATTTTTCAGGTCATATATGTCAGAGCGCAGACAGTTTGTTGAGATTGGAGGGATGAAGTACTCTGTGAGGAATGTCACCTCTGGAATTCCTCAGGGCTCGGTCCTGGGACCTGTGCTCTTCCTAATAATGATAAATGATCTGGACGATAACTTGAGCTGTAGATCCCTGATGTATGCTGATGATTCAACTTTCATAACTACCGTAGTCATTGTAGTTTAAAGGAACTCACTCAATTATCTTCATTAGTTTTGAATGACGCAAAGCACTGGTTTAATGTAAATGGGTTTAACATGAACTCAGACAAAACACAGTCAATTGTTTTTAGGCTAGGTGCAATTCCCGACAATGAGAAACCAATGTCTGTAAGTGTCAACCTTTTAGGAATAGATCTAGATTATGGTTTAACTTGGGAGAATCACATAAAAAGTGTCAGTCGTAAGTTGTCCAGAGTATTGTTTCTGATTGGGAGGCTAAGAGATTTTGTACCACCGCAGTATGTAAGATGTGCCTATTTTGCATTTTTTCAAAGCCATTTGCTGTATGGAATATTGCTGTGGGGAAATTCAACTCATATTAATAGTGTATTAAAGATTCAGAAGAAGGCAATTAGGCTTTTAACTAACTCTAGGCAGCACGCACATTGTAAACCTCTTTTTAGGTCAAAACAAATCCTTACAGTTGTAAATCTGTACATACTTGAATATGTAATGTTTGTAACGAGCAACCCAAATCTGTTTCCACAAAGAGGTGTTTTTCATACTCATCAGACAAGAGGCAGGATGGCACTTGATAGGCCCTATACTAGATTAGCAACTGTTCAGAGGAGTTTCTGCAGTGTATCTATTAAAATTGTAAACGCCCTTCCTAACACCTGGCTAGGCCTATCAAGCAAACAAATCAAACACAAGTTGTTGGAATGGCTTATGGACCATCCCTGTTATGACTTGAATGAGTTTTTTGTAGAAAGTGCCAACATGATATTCTAGTCATTATATTTATTCTGACTGTCATTATATTTATTCAGTATTAATCTTATAACTCTATGCATGTTTTTTTTCTATCTATTTAACTGTACAGCTATTTATTTATTGTAGCGTTTGTGATATGATAGCCTTTCTATTTTGTATGCTATAATGTGACTGTGATAATGTATCGCTATTGTTTTATACGTGTGTCTCTGACGAGGTCTATTGTAATCAATGATTATTTAATGACCAATAAATTACTTGATTACTTGATTAGGCCTAAGCCAGTCACAGAGTCAGTACGCCTAGATACAACTGAATTAGGCCTAGGCCTAGTTGTCTTAGGCCCTACTACTAAGATGGGGGGTACAGTTTCTTAACTGGGCTATGCTAATATCGACAGAAACTATCGAATTGAAAATATTGATTAATAATCGATATTTTTAAATATATTTATTATCAAATTGAACTATCATAACCTAACCTAACCAACCAAACTTGCTGATGGTGAAAAAATCGCACGAAGGTTTACTAATCGAATCGATAGTTTCAATCGATATTAGCATAGCCCAGTTAAGAAACTGTACCCAAGATGGGTAATTGTTCCATATAACTTATCTACAATGGGGAAAATGTAATTTTTATACCTAAGTTATGTCTAGCCTACTTAAAGTTTTTTTCACGCTGAATCCTAAAATTCTATCAGTTTTTGTCGGAGAGATCCCTAAGTGGCCGTAGAATTAACTTAGCCTACCGTAAATAATTAATATCAAGCTTCAGTCTCGTTGAGTCACTCAGATTGCAATAGGCCCTAGTAGGCCTATAAATAACCTTTTTATGGTAAAAAATGGTAGAAATGATTTAGAAAGCAGTTTTAAGTTATAATTAACCCTCCGAGTGTCCCTTGTTTTGGCCTTAATGTCTGCCTATTTTTTGCTCATTTGCAAGGTTTTATTAAAACGGATCTGAGAAGCTTGAAAACAATGTTAATTATACTGTTCTATATACCATTTTGTTTGGAAAATCATGGGCTTCAATATTAAACATAAAAAATAAGGAAAATTTGTTTAAAAAAAATTTTTTAGTTAAAAAAAAATAAGTTTGCGCACAATGAAATTGTATAAATTATAGCCTAGGCCTATAAATATTTGAAAATAGCCACTTTGTTCTAAATTTTATGAGGATTACAAATATAATAATATAAGGAAGTAGATTTGCAAATAAATAAGTTATGGGCAAAAAACAGATTTCAGAACATAGCGTTTAGCTAAGAATGCATAGCCTAACCATAGCTAAGAATCTGGCTGATAATTTACATCAATATCACTACCTACTTCTTCAGGATCATCAACCAGCCCTTCAAAATCACTTAAATCTTCTTATAATGCACCACGTATATCACTACTTTTGATTTTTAACACTGTAATAAAACACATCAGTCATCGGTCCGAGGTTAACCAAGCTGTTTACAAATACGCACGTCAGCTGTCTGCTACAATATTTTCGGAACTAAAATGAAAAGCGCTTAGAGACAGACCTCCGGAGAAAGCTCTGAATCTGTCAAATAAAACGATACCTAACTCGATCCAGTTCAATCCGATTTTGTCAGTCATAGAGCCTTCGCCGTAAACAGTGTTTGTGAGTCGATGCATCAACATAAAACACTACACAAAGTGTGTTATGTGTCGATGCATCGACAAATAACACTCGGAGGGTTAAGCATATGACAATCCTCCCCCCTATTAAGCTGCTCTTAGTTGGTCGCAGTGTCTTTTTTTTATTAATTATTAAATATTATGTTTGAAGTGTAAGGCCCCTATTACACGAGGTAGCCTGGCGACGTCGCCAGCGACCAAACTGGCTACTCAGCTTGTCATGGGGCATTGATTCTTATGGATGTTATTACACGAGGGTAGCCAGCGACGCAGCCACACTTTGGCGACCGACTGGCTACCGAGCCCCGTCGCCACTGCGGTAGCCACTGGCTACCCATATTGGCGACGCTGCATTGTAGTATATGGAGCTTATTACACTAGGTCGCCAGTATCACGTCGCCACTCGGTTAGTTCATATCACGGGGGTACTTGCACACTGTTGTGTTGCGTTCTGTTGTGTTGTGAGTGTGTGAATTGTTCACTTCAGTTGATAAAATGTCTATATCATCCTTTATGACTCGAAGAAACTGGATTGTGACATACGAAAATAATTGAAACATTTTTTATTGTCCGCACAGAGCTCATCAAAAAGGGTGTAATATAACCCTTTTGATTCTCTTGCACTAAGCATTGGATGAACGTACATTTTTCTCTTCCTTTGCCTCCTTTTCTTCAGAAGTAACAGAAGGAGAAGAGAAGATACTTATAATCACTCATTATTCACTGTAAACACCGCTCATAACAAGTACAAGTGCAAGACAAGCACTCACAACAACGGCGCCACGGCGGTAAAATTCTGGCTACTCAACTGGTTATAGGTTTGGTGGCCAGTGCGTCGCCAGCTACTGCCGCTGGCGACGTCGCCAGGCTACCTCGTGTAATAGGGGCCTTATAGCGATTGATAAATGTCCTGTCATTTTATTATGTACCGGCAATGACATTCTGCGTATAAATAAACATGTAAAACTGTTTTCCAGGTTTTTAGACTGTAACAAAATCAGCCTATTGATGAGGATGAACTCCGTGGGAGGTACGTTGGATTCAATCCATATCAAGGACATCCGTCCGGGATTGAAGAACTTTTCTGTCACGTTTATCGTTCTGGATGTGGGTCAGCCTGTGCTACTGAAGGAGAACAGAGAAGTAAGGACTTTGAAAGTTGCAGATGCTACGGCTTGTATTAATCTGTCCCTGTGGGACGAACCAGGAGCTGTTATTGCACCCGGGGACATCATTAGACTGAGCAAAGCCTACGCAGGAGTGTGGCGTAACGCACTTACCTTATACTCGGGCAAAAACGGTGATATTGATAAAATAGGGGAGTTCTGTTTAGTTTTCAACGAACAGCTTAACATGAGTGAACCTAATTTGAACTTATCAAACCCAATTGGAAACCAACCCGGAGGTGGTGTGCCGAATTTGAACAGTAATATAAATAACGGTAGTGCTAATAGCATAGGTACACTCCAGAACAGACCCGCTCCTCTGCTACCTGCTGCAAGTGATCGGAAAAACGCCCCTCGATACTCGGGAGAGAGAACCAGAGAGACCTCCATTCCTGCGGGGAAACACTCGGGGAAAAGTGGACCTAAGAGTGGGGGCAGAGGGGGTCAACGGAATGTGATTCGGAATGATAAAAGATAATTTAATAATGCATGCGTTAATAGTGAAGTAATGAGTTTTAACAAATTTTATTCAAATAGGCTACTACGCCTACATACTTTTTTTAACTCAAACATTTTAATTTTTTAATATTTTATCTAAAGTTTGATTAAATATATATTTATTTAAAATAGGTAAAGTATAAACATGCAGATGGATATTTTGTTAAATGGTAAATTTTTCTGTTGATTTTAGTAAAGTAATAAGGTTTAAAAGATTTAGTTCAAAGTACCTACTGTTTTAATGAAAATATCTTGTATAACTTTTAAAACCTGAAGTCATTATATCATAGACTAACTAACAGAAAATAGGCCTAGTCTTCTCATCCCATTGTATAACCTGTAGCTTGTTTTTTAAGTGCGGTTCACGTTGGTGGTGTTAAACGCTAATTTCAACAACATTTTCTCTCTCTTTTTTTGGAGTAAATTTTATGATTAGTGCTCTACTGTTGTTCTACTGTTGTTTGGTTATAAAACCCTGGACAAGCTATTGTTCATAATTACACAATTTTATTTGGTTTTAAACTAGTTTTAATAGCCTACCCCTGCCGCAACAAGCCTGCAGACTAAGCGAATTTCAACTTCTCTGATTACATTTTTACTAAAATATTTCTATAAATAAGACATATTTATTCCCAATTTAAATAACATTAGATATAACGAGTGCTTAGGTTTGCTGCTACGGGGAAGATAAAAAGTGTTTTTTGACCATACGTCAATAGCATAGGATGAAATAAATAAATTTGTTGAATTTTATCAACATTATATCCATAAACGAAGTATACTAGAACCATTTTCATTTTCTCCATAAGAATAACAATAACATAGAAAATTTTAATTAGAATTTTTTCCCCCCGTAACCGTAACTTTTTCTACTAAAATACTCAGGACTCTAGGACCTATAAAATGAGGTGTAATATGACGGGACCCCTTTACATTGGAAAATTTTCCAAAAACCACCCCCACCCCCAAAAATCTGCTCTTTGGGGTGCTTTTTTGGGTTTGAAAATTATTAAGCTGGATTACTTGGGGTCAAAATAGGGGGTTCCAGTTGCAATTAGGTTTCTATTTGCTTTCATTTTGGAGCTATAGAAGCCGGTCAGGTGGTCTGGGACCTGGTCCAGGTCTGACCATGAGACCTATGGTATTAGCTTATTCCCTATATGGGAAATTCTCTGAAAACGCCAAAATAACAAGAAACAAATCCAAAACAACATTCCCCCTCATGTTTTGTACTTAACCAACATTAAAACTGTCCTTAACGATGAGAAACCTAAGTATGTTTAATCCATGGTACCGGTATGTTTGTGCAGCTTGATTATTTGTATGTATTCTATTTAGCGAAAGTGTTAATTTTAGTGAAGTAATATGTTTTAAGGAGTTTTATTCAAAGAACGTAGGTACTGTTTTATAACTTCAAAAAAGTAATTTTTTAATACCTTTAAAGTAGAAAAATACATGAAATAACACCTGTAATAAATATATTTACACTCATACTGTTTACTTACAAGACGGTAATACATAAAATATGGGAAGTGGTGATCGATTTCGATTGGAGTGTCCACTTACCATCTTTCATATGTATTTACCGTCTTGTAAGTAAACAGTATAAGTGTACATATATTTAAAACAAGTGTTATTTGACATATTTTTGTACTTTCAGGTAATTTACACGTACAATGCTTATCAAGAAGTTATTTGCCTTTTAATATAACCATTTTAAATGAAAATATATTTTTAAATTGATGTGATAAACATTTGTGTAGAAGGAATCTTGTGTTATTTTTAGTGGGGTAATAATATGTTTTAATGGATAAAAAAAAATACCTACAATTTTATAACACTAAAAGAGACATTTTAACTTTTTAATATATACAATTTTAAAGACAAAATATTTATTTAATAAACATGAAGTGATTTAATTGTGCAGATAGATTCTCTGATGAATGGTAAATTATTGTTTTATATTTAAGTTATTGTCAACGATTTATGAGACTTTTCACAATGAAGTAAATTGTGTACAAATAAATCGACATTCCGATGTATTCAGTGTTTGAATCCTAGCCTTCAAAACCAATAATTTAAATCCACCATTTGGTGATTCCTTGATCTGAGAAGCTGAAAAACAGTCTGTTGATATGACAACCATCGATGTATAATAACTCCCTCGATTGCGCGCTGAGGTTGAAGTAGGGCTGCGGTCTGCTGCTGCCTCGCTCTGTCCGCGAGGAGTGGGGATAAAGGCATGAGTCACCCTAGTGGCGAGTGTCGCGCCCGCTCTAGCTGCATATTGCTGTGTTAGTTTTTTGGAAATATTACAAGTAAAATTTATTATAACGAACTTAAGGAGGTTTGTAAACAGATATAATTAATCTAATTACTTGCTCACACTTTACAGACTATGCATCACAAGTAAATCTCAGAAGAAATTTAGTGATGTTATGAAAGAGTTAGATTTATTTATAACCTATTTGAACATTGGTCAGAACAAAATATTACAATAATTATTTTATCACAGAAGCATGTCATCATTTGCTACTGTGAGCCCCAATTATTATTGAGAGACTTAGCAACATGTAACGCCTCTTTCACACGATGCGGTGCCTGTGGCGCGGCGTTGCGCCGGACAAGTGTGTGTCTTCACACTAGTACGGTTTCGTCCGGCGCGTGCCGTACGGCACTCCTGAATATTTATTATTTTCTGTTCAGTTGTGACACTACCAATAATAAAACCGAGTTACACAGTTTTGATGTTAACACCACGGCAAAAGAAGGTTTTAGCCATGTACCTAGTATGGAGGCAAAGAAAAAGAAGAAGAAATAATAGCCATTTTGGGTTCACCCAATACTTAATAATCGGCACGAGTTTGGGGCATTCAGGGTGTTATTTAACAGGGGTTTATTTATTCCTTACGCAACGATGAAGAAAGATTCTTTTCTTATTTTCGTATGTCTATTACGACATACGAACCCAACTTACCAACCCTCCGAGTAAATCTCATTAACCACGCCTCAGTGAATACTCTACTTAAAAGTTCAAATAAAATGAATAGGCTAATTTAAAATATAATTAATTCATCATATCTAAAAATATTGTATTCTAGAAGTAAAAAATATGTTTCATTACGTATAAATTAGTAATATAATATTCTCCTCTAGTTATTAAAGGAAAAAGTTTGTTTTAATACTTTAAGTTGGCCGATTTTCATGGGATGAACATAAAAATATATGTTTTGTGATCACTTTGAATATATTATTTTCTGATACAACGATATATAATTTCTTAATAACTGTTGCACCTTCTTGGTCAGGTAGTTTGCCTAAATTGAGACAGCGTAGGGGCGCCGCACCGTGTGAAAGCTCCCATAAGAACCAATAGCCCTTCACCGAGTTTTTTTTTTGAAATTTTTTGAGTTTTTTTAAAAGTTTTTATTATTAAACTTTTAACACAGTTAACTGTACCTTGTCAACGTATTCTGTAGCGGCCGGGCGAGATAGATTTTTTTGTAGAGTATTTTAGTAAATATTTCACCATCCTTATATAATACGTGAAGGCGATTTCTACAAAACACTACTCCTCCGTTAATAATGGACGGATTTTTACAAACGACGTGTCAAAATAAAGTATTTTTTGTGTAGACGCCCCCTTTCACCAATTCCTGTAATAAAAATCCTCGGGCTTTGCACCACAGGCCATCAAAGTTGGATTTTCTCCCATAAGATTAACATGGGGGAATTTAAATATTTAATTGGAAACTTTGTCCCTACTAATTTGAGAGAACGGATGGGCGTAGAAACTTGGTTGAGGTGTCCAAAGAAAGGTCTTGGTCTGTAGATGAGTTATCAAAAGAAAAACTAAGCAAAATCCCTTAGGGCTCTGCCCCAGAAGCCTTTAAAGATCCATCCACAGAGTTGTTTACATTTTGGCCATGTGAATAATACATTTTAATAAAACAGCTGTTCATTTTTAAATTGTATTTCAAACAACACATATTTATTGGGAACTAGCTGACCCGGCGAACTTCGTATCGCCTAAGTTATAGGTTTACCCTAAGACAGACCGATGGAAAGAAAGTACCGTTACGTTTAATTTTCAAGATGATCTCGTTCGCATCGCTCAATCACGTCCTGGTTGAAGTTCGTTCGCTACGCTCACTCACCTTTGGGTTGGAGCTCGTTCGCTACGCTCACTCACCTTTAGGTTGGAGCTCGTTCGCTGCGCTCACTTGCCTTCAGGTTAGCTCGTTCGCTACGCTCACTCGCCTCCAGGTTGAAGTTCGTTCGCTACGCTCACTCACCTTTTGGTTGCAAATTAGCTGTTGTCATAAATGTAAAAGAAATAATAGTGCTGCACCCTGTTGGTAATCCTTGTAACTTTAATGCTATTGAACATCATAGAACAGAACCAACTTGTTTAATTGAAACAGCTGTTAAGATTCATTAATTCCATTTCTCATAAGGTTAACATGGGAAACTCCAGAGCCACTGGGGCGGAGCCCTTTTAAGAATTTCGAAACGGGAAATAGTTTACGTCCGATTCGCATACCTACAGAATTTACACACCAAATTTCATAACGATCGGTGAAGTCGTTCCGGAGGAGTTTGCAGACAAACACTGTGACACGAGAATTTTATATATTAGATATATATATACGTCCGTGAACGCGATAACTTGAGTAATTTTTGTCCGATTTTGATGAAATTTGGTTTAAAGGTGTAAAGCGGGATAAACTTGAATGAGTTCGCGAACCAGCACGATCGGACCATGGGAACGGGGCTTTACGGGGGGTTTTATGGGGTAAAAATTGGTTTTTCTCACTTTTGACCCTCAAAACACAAAATTTCCCGATTTCTCTTTAGACCTTTTTAAAGAGCTTAAAAAAACAAATAATTTAGTATATAAAAGTATTTTTGTTCGATTATTAGTAACGGAGAAAATTAAAAAAATTTTAAATTTAAAATTCACGTGTTATTCTTATGGAGAATATTGTCAAATGTTGTAGTTTGCTTGTTTATGGATATATTTTGATCAAACTTGGCAAATTTATTTATTTTGTACTAAGCCATCAATATTTTACTCAAAAACACACTTTATTAGTTTCCTTGTAGCAGCAAACCTAGGTACTCGTTAAACCTAATGTTATTAAAATATATTTAACTGAAAATCAATTCAGACAAATGGAAATTCGCTTAGTCGGCAGGTTTGCTGCGGCGGGGGTATTTTTCTATAATCATTGACATAGCTTTAGAATGAATAATCTATGATAAAAGGTTAGATTTAAATAAACCTACCTTATGGAAAATATTATATTTAATTTCTTTGTATCAGCTGTCTGAAATTGTGAAATTTATGCAGTTTAGCAGATCTTCTTGTTTACATTTAAATGTCAAAGCAAATGTAAACAAACATTGTTAGTGTTCTCATTGCAGCCATGTAGACAAATCAATATTTACTTTTAAAATGTTCACTTCAGAACTTTTAAAGCCATAGGGGCAAAGCCTACGGTCAGTATCAAAATGTGAATAGTCCTATAATGGTCCTTGGTATGGTAACTATATTTTTGTAAAATTTAAGCCCAGTTGGTTCAGTAGTTTTTAAACCTATTAGTAACACACATACAGACAGACACCATTAGATTTTTATATAATAGTATAGATATAGATTGTACCAAGTAAGTATTTGCAATGTTATTTTCTGATTTTAAAATTGATTTTCCTCTTTATC